ATATCTGATTTGTATAATACCCGGGTCTTTTACAATTTTGCCGGCCCAAACTGCTGCAGGGTACTATACACGGGGGGTACTTTAGTCAGTGGTCTACGGTAGTTTGGTGTTTGTTTTTGGGGTTCTTGGTTGGTAGGTTTAGTCCGTTGAGTTTCAATTGATCGAATTTACCCAATCAAACTAGTGGGCTGGACAAGAAAAGGGGTTATCAGTGAAACGTGCCGGTGTTTTCCGAACGTCCAAGATAGCCAATGACGATGAAACATTGGTACATGTGATATCTCTGTCTTGTTCTCGTATCAACACATATTTTACAACAGGCAATTTTCTGCAAGTCGCTTGGGTGATGGAACAGACCGACTTGCGGGAAACATACTGGTAAGTTGTAGGAAGAATTATTATCGAAAGGAACGCACTCACGAACGTTGGATGCATATAGGTTTTTATTGGAAAGAAAATTTCATACCTAAACAAATCTGACGAAAATGTCTATTACTATGCATATTTAATATCTACCCGATTTGCTACCAGCTGATTTCAATATATATATTTCATGTATATGCTGGATATTATGATTCAGGGGTTTAGTACGGGGATTTGCATTGACGAATCTTTTACTGTTGACTTTCGTTTAGTAGTAGTGGTGATGTATTCGGGTTCGCTAGACGTACAAGTAGAAGACGATATTATATTATTGGTATCATCTTTGTTTTATTTCTGCAGAGTTCAGAATCATTCATAGGAGCAGGAGGTGGGGAAGTTGATGAGGTAGGGCGAAATTTTGAGGATGGAGTACAGTAATAGTAGATGGATTAATAGATGCGAGAATCGTTTGGTGATTAATGGAGGAAGGAGTCGGTAGCTGATTTTTAATTTCTTGAACGGTGTTTTGGAAGCGAGAAGCAGTATTAGATGTTAATGATTTGATGGTGGTTGAGAAGAGTGCTTGGTAATAAACAGTTATGTGATAGAGAATGTCTATAACGATCGCTGGTTAGTTTGCTGATGGCGTTTATAAGTCTTGTATCTTCTTCTCGCATTTATAATATTCACCAATTGATCTACCCTTTTGCTGCTGGTCACGGCATTGATATTTATGATATGTTGCCTGGAAGAATCGTACGTTGGAGAGGGTTCGTTGGAGAGTGTTTTGTCATTGTTACTGTGATTGTTATAGTTGGGGAGAGCGTTATCGGGTAAATGGGATTTTGAGGTCTTGCTTCGTAGGAGTTGCATTTAGTAATGTAATATAGAGAGTTTCGTTTTCATATATCAGCTGAATTGAACAAAATCGCCGTTAAAATCTTGCCGATAGTTTGTATGAGTAGTGCTTGAAAAGTATTTGTACGTAATGTTTTGAAAACACTCGGGCTCATGCTGGTGCGCTGCCACTCCTTGAATGAATTTGTTGTTAACAATTTCTTTGGAATTGTCTATAACAGAGACTATGGCCGCATTCGGCATTTTTCGTTGATTGCACATACTGTTAGATAGGGTTGGGAGAGCAATTAATTGCGTAGGTGTGTTCTGTCGAGAGGGGTTTTTCACAATTTAGCTCTTGTCGCTGCCCTTACTACAACGATTGCTCACTTAAGGCTGAAAGTGACAATAAATATCTATATGCGCGCTTCCTATACGATGTATTTCTCCTATACTCGTATCTAAATAAGGGTACCAAGGATAAATAAACAACAACAATCTATCTACCGCGCGGAATCGAAGGGAAATTTTTTTACTAATAGTGTTTTGACTAGTCAAGGAATGTCACTTATCTAATTATCAATCGAGATACTCTTGCTTTACCGCAACTACGGGTCGTTACCGATTTACTGCCGATAGTTAAGTCAAAAAGCTTAGTTTTCACGACGATAGAAATAGCAATAATGAAAGTAAAAAGGTTTCGTAAGGATAAAGATCAGATCGATCGTTTATTACATCCGAATACTAGATTTCTACGCCACAGAGCGCGTATTTTCCCACGTCGTCACCAAAATCGCGTTACTCGCATTATTTGCTATTCTTAGCTACATTTTTGTGTTCAAAACTGTCACCAAAATCGCGTTACTCGCGTTTGTTTTGAGTAACATCTAATTAATATATTAATTAATTACTGCGGAGGAAGATTTTACCATGTGACTTGCTTATCGACGTCAGCCGATCAGCTCGCCGTAACCAATGTATGCCTATAAAAATTGTACGGCAATGTTCTTGTCTTTATACAAGCATGGATTCTATCGAACAAAGACACGCCAATCGATAAATTTTATATGAGTTAATTCAATGAAAAAAAAATATGTAGTAAGCTTATGTTGTAAGCGAATAAAGTGCAATGTTTACGATATGGCTTTCCAGGATATATATACTCACTGGTTCAACCCCGCATATTTTCGCAGAAGTACAAGAAAAATTTGAAATGACTGGAAACCACTCGGAACGCTAGTTTTCCTTCAAGTTGGTCGTCATCTTCAGCATATCTTCATTCAGCCTTTGATTTTTATAGTTCATGCATATAATTGTTTTTAGAATAATCTTCATACTCTAATAATGCATCTGTGCCAATAATTATTTGGTTTGCTTCCCTGCGTGGTCGATAGACTTTTAAAAATTATCTCGGTGGATTATAACAAAAGTCTAACAATGTTCCATTATGATTATGCATTTAATCGATCGCGTTTATTTTTACGACTGGATTTTATTCCAACTATAATAATTTTACATGTGAACGCCCATATTCAAGTTCTTGAGCATAAGCCGTGAGCGTAAGCTGCAATAAATTATCCAGGGATGAAGATCTACACGGGATGTGCTAAATAAATCGAATAAAAACAATTACTCATAAACTTACTTCAATTTTGCTTTGTTGTTAATATAAGCCTTTAATCCCTTTGCATATCTTACGCTAATAATAACGTTTAAAATATCTTCGTCTTCCTCAACATCACTCCCATCTTCAGTGATTGTTACGACGATATCTTCATCGGATGGCATTGTGCCTCGCGCCACACTAACTGATCCACTCACGACCGATAACAAATCACTCTCACTAATACCTATAAGGTCAACAATTTCATCATTATCTTTTGTTCTAGACCAGTCAGTGTGTGATGTAACACAATAATAATAATCATCGAGCATGGAATGCTCTCTGTTATTCAACCATGTCGTTAGCATCAGGGACTATTAAGAATCCAGCAATTGACAACTTGGTTAAATCCTCCTTGGAAAGTGAAAATGAATACTTGAGACTTGAATGGATTCCTTACGAAGAAATCGCCAACGTAGAACAAATTCATGACAACGTCTATTATGCTATTCATAAATATTCATCATATGGTGAAATGAACGAAAAGCCAATAACGCTGGTATTCGTTGGAAATAGTGAAGAATGTACACCAACCCTTGTGAGTGCGTTCGCTAGAATATACTCGCTTCCGACGCACAAGTACAATAATGTTGACGATAACTTTAAAAGATATTCCAAATGGCTTGTGTGTCGCAACCAATTCATAGAAGGATTCACCAAGTCTAATGACAACTATTATTACATGGTTGCTGATAGTGAGTTTTACCATTACTATTCCCGTTTTGGATTCTGCACCGCATGTAGAATACTCCGGTGTAGCCCTGCGTGGTGCATTTGCAGTCATAAGGAATTATCCGATGGATGGACCAGCAACAATAAGCGACTCGACGAGCTCATCAAAAAATCTCAATTACAAACAAACTCTGCAAATCATGCCTATTTGGAATGGATTCCATACGATTGTATTCGTGATGGAGGACAATATGGGTTATACTTGAATGGTCTACCTACTCATGCAGGAGTTAAATTGATTCCACTTGATATAACAGACGAGACACATGATTTATATTATGCCGAGGTAAACTATTTACTTGTACGTCATATTTATTGAATAGTTTGACTTATTATTATGTATAATTTTTCCCTAGTTATGTGATAAGCATCCTGATATTCTTACCGCGGATGTTTGGGTTACCATCGGATTTACATATGATGTGAAGAAACAAAAGTATTGTCTAATAAAAGAAGATGAAGAAATCGGATTATGCCTGGCGTGTACAGAGAAATTGGTCTCCAAGATAAATGCATTCTGTCTTTATTGTAAAGCACCACGACTTCTTGATTGGACTACTGGAAACACGTCATTGGATTCATTCATTATGAAGTCATGGAAGAATATGAGTAACGAAAATGATGCATATATACAATGGATTGAATACTCTCTTTTGACAAACGTACAAGAAATGACATCACTACGCCATGGATGCACACACACGGCAGATTGGACAGCGAATGAATTGATCCGAGTGGCACTCAAAAAGATAGTTGATAACGGAGACGATTTCCATCAGGTAAATTATGTCACGTGTAAAATGCAGCTTGTATTACTGTACTATTAACGTGTATCGCGTGCTAATTAGATTATCGTATTCTGTTTATTAAATAGCTAATCAAAGAATACCCGGATATATTAAACCCCTCTGAGAATATTTGGATAATTGGGATCACGCAGGATCCATCTACTCGGGAATATTATTTAGTTTTCTACTATGACATACATGCAGTATTGGACAGGTTTATACGAAAGAATGAACGTATAAAGCAGATGCAGTATAGTGACTTTGATGAGCTTAAAGAGATCGGATCTGGCGGTTACGGATCAGTTTATACTGCCAAATATAGAAATTATAGACAAGTATGGGGTATGGAGGAAACAGTTGTACTCAAACGGTTTAAGAGCTTTGATGAAACTCCGGAATTATTTATTTCAGAGGTAAGCAATAATTGGCACGATATATGATACTATTAAAGTGACATTAATTTAATGCTGCATTTATGTTCAATTAATAGTTCAGAAATCTTGCCAAGTGTTCGTACGAGAATCGTTATTTCCTTAAAATTTATGGAGTCACACAAGACCCAGGAACAAAAGAGTACATGCTGGTTATGCAATATGCTAACAATGGTAGTCTTTTGTCGTATTTGGATCAAAATATTAACAATTTGACGTGGAAGAAGAAATTACAGCATTTGAGGGATATTGCATATTATCTGCGCAATCTTCATCATCTGGAATTAGTGCACTGTGATCTTCATCGGAAACATTGTTTTGAACAACAACAATATTCCACTAATATGCGACCTTGGCCTGTCTCGATCAGTGAATTCACGTGAGTCAACCATTCGAGGCGTATTACCCTTTATTGCACCGGAAGTCTTTCATACCTGCAAGTTTACTCAGAAATCAGACGTATATTCTTTTGGTATCATTATGTATTTGGTTGCAACTGGTGAACCGCCTTTTAGAGATAGGAAGTTTGATGCAGCTTTAATGCATAATATTATGGACGGACTACGACCATCGATGCCAGATTCCGCACCAGCAGAATACAAGAAACTTGCCGAGCGGTGTTGTGATGCTGATCCTGATAAGCGTCCTAATGCATTTAGACTTTGGGGGGATATTAACAATCTCGTTAGCGAGATAGCAGGAGACAATTCTGATAGCAACATGTGGAATACTATCTATCATAATGATGTAAAACCATTGTCACGTTTCGAGAAGGAGAGTAAATATTCTAGTACGCTCTTACCTACTGGGAGTCTGCCCAAACCAAGAAATCATTCTCATCAATTACCTCCCTTATCAGATTTCGGCTTACCAAGTTTAGAGTAGATTTGGGGAGAGAGTAGTTCGGATTTAGCGCGGTTACGAAGACAGCAACTAGTTATGTTCATACAAACAAAGTCAATATCTGATATAAACATTGTCCGTTGCTTATGATTTAGCGATCAAACATTTTTGAATAAACATGTAATTCACAGTTGTAACACTTTGTTCAAGGATTTATTCCCGTTCCGATAAATATGTCAATATGGGGGTTGAGTTAAAAAGATAAACCGAAATAACGTCGTGCATTTCTACTGTTAATTGCCTTTGTCGTATAGATCATTTGATATTGAAACTGTCGGTGAATTGATGCTAATTATTCTACGTTCGAGCTCCAATGACATTCTTCTCAAATGAATCAATGCAGTCGGCAAATATGGCAAGATTCTAGCTCAAATATTATTTCCATCGGACATTGAATAATGTTACTTGAAGCTTTATAGATGCTACGGTCACTCCACAACAAAGAATGTCTGGTAATAGTCTATTGCGAGAGAACAGGCGGTAAGAAGTCAAACAATGTTGAATCCTTAGATAAGAAGCCTGGAGAGACGATAAAAAGCTGGTCCCATACCTGTTCGATCTTGTAAGAATAAAACTCCACAGGTTCTCGCCGGTGTTATGAATAGTCAGTACACCGAAGATTTACTACTTTCCATTATATGGCATCGTTACGGAGCTGTAAAGGTATGCTGCAGGTTTAAGGGCATTCCCACAGCGGGAATAAAATTGCCATATACAAGTGTGTCAACCACAGACGCCAACATCATATCGACTGTGCAGAATTGTTTTCATTCCTAGCCTCTGGCCGAGAGTCTGGGCAAAATCTAGCCATATTCATTGTTCTTTGGGTCAAGATCTTTTTCAATAATAATAATGTTTGATATCGCGGATCGAAGTGGACCGGTCCGCCATCTTTCCAAGTCAAGTCTGCCCTTATCGCCTTAATAAAGTTGGATACATCCCACAATAAGTAACAATATAGACGAAGGCAAGGAATTGCGAGCGTGAACAAGTCCCCTCATTATTATACTTGACGTACGGAACTACACTCCCACTTTCGCACCCTCTCCAACGCGTAGACTTTAAAACCGAGTTTTTGAACAGGGTGTTCTGTCTTTATAAAGCAATTCTCGATCTATAGAAAAGGAAGTGAATTAGCAAAAGACAAATAACCAAGACAATTTATAAAACAAAAAAATACCGCAATTACGACATGAACGGTTACTCTATTACCATAGTCCATCCCATAAGTAAACGAATATCCCGACGTCTGAACCAATTTATTTAGTCTCTTGTAGCTGCGTTTGAATTAGCTCGTCTTTTTACCCATCCCGATTTCGCTAGTATACACACATTGCACCAAATTATGTCATCCGTTGATTCCCAGACTTAGGTGCGGTGTCGATAGTGATCAAACGGACGTCACCAAATCCCAGCCCAAGAGGTTCGCGTGCGCATACTGAGTCAGGAGACGAAGCGTACTTTCAATAGCAAACGAATTCTCGTCCAATTTCTAAAGATTGATTCATAATATTACTTTTTGTCGTTGGATAAAAAAACCGAAACAGTCATGATCACTCACATTCCGTCGTAGAGCAATTAGCTGTGCTGATTAATATCCTTGGTTTTCAAGTGTTAACCATCTGTATGCCAGAATTTGAATTCGCAAATAATTCTCAAGAATGCATATAAACCATTTCCATTACAGATTGCCGAGGGAAGCCCCCTCCTGTAATGACACTCTTGAAGCAGTATTACCAGACAGGAGATTGAAAGTAGAGAATGACACGCTACGCTTGAGTAATTGATGGGTTAATTGCGTAAATTACGCTTCCTGTCAACGTTGAGTATTAGTGTTACTTGTGTATAGTTGTTGCAATCTAAAGGCGTGAAAACTGTGGTTAGTTGGTACTTTGCAACAGTGACAGGCCCGAAGTTTGCTCACTTATCAATATAATGTACAGTAATTGGAATAATGCATACGTTGACAGACAGCTATTAGCGATACTTGAAATACGCTTCGCAGGAGTTTGTGTTAGTTTGGTATCTGCTGTCTGGGGAATTTTAGGGTTGACGTGTTAGGTAGTTAGAATGGGGTAGTATTTAGATATGTTTGGTTAGTTCGCGGCTATACAAGGGCAACGGTAGCTTTGTTTTAATTGTAAACAGTTATGTAATGGGATAGTTGAAATTATATGCGCGATCCGTTCATAACAATCCGGCGATATGTCACACAGCCGGATTCGAACACTTTAGCGCGGATCTATTATTAACTATAACGGACTCCGTTATAATTCCTTTGTCTCATTAAGCTCAGTACAAAAAGCCAACGCAAGCGAATCTGAAAAAAGAGTTCGAAGAACATACCACACCTTAACTTGCACCTCTCACATCGAACCAGTATCAGCAACTCACAGGGCAAGGGAAAGAATAATGTAA